CTTTACCAATGTAAAAATCTGGTCACCTTATTTTAGAACACAACATATAAACTCATTTCCCAACCAGGAAAGGTGGTTGTAGGAGTTAAATAACTTGCCCAAGTCACCTGCAGAGCCAGCATTTGAACCCACGTCTCTGCATCTCTAAACTCCACTGCACAGTCCTGAGAACAGTCTCTGTCTCCTGACTTCCTATCCAGTGCTCATTCTTCCCACCCTGAGGAGGATTCTTCGGGAAACAAATATCCCTTCCTGCACTTAGCAGGAAGTTGACTACCGCAGCAGTTGCCCTCCCTGGCCTAGGGTGAGGGGGAGAAAAAGCCCTTACACTGTTGGCACAGGACAGACTGAGCGTAGAGCTTTCTTCTTTTGGGGCCACGCACGTCTCAGAGTGAGACCTACCCGCAGCCACCCAGCTCCTATACTCACACCTACCTGTGCTTCCCAGAAGGGCAGTGTGGTAGCCAGAGGCTCCGCTAGGGGGCGAGCCTGGACTGTCTTACAGCACTTCCTGGAGCTGGGACCAGTGCAGGGCCTACAGGAGTCACAGGTGGGACTACAGGTGACAACTCTCCCTGGAACTGCTCTGTCCTTCCTGCTTGCAGCACTCCTGGGAATCCTGTATGAAGACAAGGAAAGGCAGGACTTCATCTTCACCATCTACCACTGGTGGCAGGCCGTGGCCATCTTCATCGTGTACCTGGGCTCCAGCCTGCCCATGAAGGTGAGGCCTGGTGAGGGTAGGGGGGTCCCATGCCGCCAGGAAACAGATACTTTGTGAGCACTCATCCTGGTTTCACAGCCTCCTTAAGAGCATCATGTCCCATAGGCCAGGCCCTTGACCAAAGACCTATTCCCCTCCCCCCAACCAGGTGGCTTCCAACCCATCACCCCACTGAGCATGGCAGTCTGTCTCCCCCTGTGGCTTTCAGGGGAGTGGGCTCCTCATTCTCTGCTCACCAATAGTGGTGAGTTCAGTTTACCAAGTCCCGATCAGCATTTTAAAAAAATGAAATATAGAAAATAGCAGGCGGGGTGTATGCACAGAGATACCTACTGAGTATGTACCTACTGAGTTACAATGCAGAGTCCGACTGTGGGTTACAGTCTGAGAAGCATTGCTAAGGTCCACTGGTGTTGAAGGGACACTACCTCAGCCCTGCACAGGAGGGCCAGGCACTTTATCAACACCCGCACATTTTCCCTGTGAAGCAAGGGGATTGTCACTCTCCCCTCTTAAAGTGAGTGAAACTGAGGTCCCCAGGGTGGCCGGATTTGAGCCTTGCCGGTAGGAGGGGACCCAAGAAGCGTGGGTGGGGGTTCCTGAGAGAGTCCAGGCCGAGGTGGCGGGGAGGTGGCGGGGAGGTGGCGGGGAGGGTGGCGGAGGAGCCGGGTGCGAGGCGGGGATGGGTGTGGCCTGTCTCTGTGTGGGGAGCCGCAGCCCATTGGTGCCCTGCTTCCTCCTCCTTGCGCCCAGGCCAAGCTGGTGGTGCTTCTGTTGACGCTGCTGGCGGCCGCGATCTCGTACTTGCGGATGGAGCAGAAGCTGCGGCGGGGCGTGGTCCCACGTCAGCCTCGTATCCCGCGGCCACAGCACAAGGTGCGCGGCTACCGCTATCTGGAAGAGGATAACTCCGATGAGAGCGACACGGAGGGCGAGCGGGGCGGCGTTGGCGGTGGCGGCCGGGGCGACAACGCAGAGGAGGAGGCGCTGCCCGCGGGGCACGGACCAGGCCCCGAGCCCGCGGGCCCCCACCGCCGGGCCTGCCCCTACGAGCAGGCGCTGGGGGGCGATGGACCCGAGGAACAGTAAGGGGCAGCGGCCCCGACTCCGCCCTCGCCTTGTCGGCCTCAATTCTCTGTGCCGCAGGTCGGGGGGCCTCTGTGGACGCTACGCTGTCTTCAGGTAGGACCCCTGGTCCCGCCACAGGTCTGGGGTCTCCTGGAACTTCCACAGCTCCGCTCCCCAAGCCCAGGGTCGGAAAGCGCACCGCAGCTACAGGGCTACCGCCCCCAGCAGGTCCAGCCGCGAGGGGCCAGGGACCTCCTGCAGTGCTTTACACCTCCTATCCTCAGGTCCGCCAAAAGCCACGACTCTTTATAAAAAAGCAATAAAGAGATTTTGTATTGTACGGACCGGGGATTCTCAGGCCCTGGGGAACAAAGAACGCTTGGCAGGCCCGGCCGCTGGGGCACGGATTGCAAGAGGCCTTGACCCCTCCGAACGCTGGAGCGGGTGTGAGGGTGGCGCGTGCCCCCTGCTGGGGCTGTCCCCTAGGCTCCGCCCACCGGACTGTCTTGCCGGAGGCCCCGCCCTCCCCATGCCCACCTGCTTTGTCCGCCCCACCCCCATCCACCCCAGTGAGGGAAGACTAGAGCAGTTCGCAGCAACCTCAGCAGCGGAGCGTGTGACAGAATGGCTAGTCTCTGTGGATCTGGAGGACAGGACAGACTCCAGAGACCCAGGCCACTCTACCCCCTTCAGGCGACCTGTGCAAGCATCCCCAGCCCTTTTGGTTCCTCATCCTTTATTGTCACAGCTCTCCTAGTGACACCTTTGGAGGCAGGGTCCACTTCTGAGCCACCTTGGTGTGCCCAGTATAAGGCTAGGGAATGGTCATCTGAGCCCCGGTAAACTTGGTCACTGCTCTTTCTAGCCTGCAACCTCAGGCATTTTGTCTATGAGGAACAGAGGCTGGCGAAGGGGACAGACGCCCTCCAAGGGCTAGGGGTGCTTTCTCCAGCCCTGTTCTGTCCAGAGAAGACTGAGACTCTACTGTGAAGATCCCTGAGCGGCTGGGCGAGGACAGGCAAGGGGGCCATTCAAGGGTCATGGAGCCCTTGCTGGCTGCACCCTGACAGGTCCTCTGCCCAGGCGGGTTCCTCTGCTGGGGCACACTCTTCCTCACTAACCCTGAAGGCCAGACATTTGTCCCTACCTACCTGGAGGCTCGGCACTCATTTCACCAAGTTTCCTAGATTATAGATTCTAAACCATGCCCCCCCTCCCATTGAGTTTGGCTCTAGCAGCCTCTAGAGGGCCCTGGAACCAGGCTGTGGTCTTGGGTGAGGAGTTGCCCATCTACTCACAGGTTCCTTCTCTGTAAAGTATTCACATAGCTCTGTAGAAGAGAAGACATGTGTTAGACCCCTTAGCATGGTGACTCCAAGGTCCCAGACCCTGTAGGAAGCACATAGGCGGCAGCAGGAGATTTGAAGTTTTCTAAATTTTGGAAGGAGAACTGCCTGGCTTGAACTCAGCCTTTCAGTGACAAGCAGAGCCAGAAATGGTCATGTGGTGCAACTAGTAGGCTTCAAGAAGCACTGGCTCTGTCCTTCTGGTTTCGCAACAGGGTCTGTTGTGGAAGAGAAAGTTATCAGGAGGCAGATGTGGCGACTTCCTTGTGGCAGGCATACAACTAAGCTCCAGTTGGAGCTGGCAACCAGATGCTCAGATGAGAATCCCTCAAACACAGGGCAAGGTGTTACTGGGAAGGGCATTGCCCCTGGGTGTGCTGGGCAAATGCGGGGAGAGTGTGCTGGGCAATGGGTCATTTCTAACATCTGTTATGCTAATGGACAAAGACCCCGGTGTGGAATAGACCTGAAGTCTACACAGGCAGGCAGAGTAGCCACTGGAGCCTCCAACCAAGGCATGTTCCCACGAGAAGGCCTCACATGCCTCTTGGCTACTGCCTGGCATGTAGATGAGACCTACACATTCATATGTGCCATGCAGTACATGATAGGCCACAAGGGCAGGCTCCACATGACACAGCACGTGTGTACGTGCACAGCAGGAGGCACACGGCACAGGCAGTGCAACAGGCCAGCCAGTAAGTCCCAGCAGGCTGGTTCCTCTGGGGCAGGTATAACTGACCTCAGGGGAGAAGGTGGGGTCTTTTAGCCACTTCCAGTTTCTTTTTTTTTTTTTTTTTGAGACAGA